TTGAGGCATGTAATCGCTCCAAAATCTTGTAATGAGGTGATAAAATAGTAGTATAACTGTCCAGGAACTTCAAATAAACATTGCACGACATTGTTTCCGCATCACTCGTCAGTCCTGGGGCAAGATGATTTGAAAAGACCATGTATTGTAAGTGAGCAGATCGACACTTCTATATTGTACAGCAATTTTATGTGCTATGCACGGTGTGCTTCAAGACCAGCTGGACTGTTTGTGTCAGTAATCGCAGATTTCATTCTTTGAATCTTTATTGCATGCTTTTCTTTCCTGAACAGGCTCAAAAGATATTGAGCCCACGTTCCATCTCTTTTAAATTGAAATTTGTTTCTTATTACGCACCGCTGCCGTCTATGATCTCATACGATCTTCTTACGACATGATGATACTCTTCTTTACTCTTCACTGAAGTTTTTATTTACTCTTAATCTTTAGCCAACAGAGAAATAGTCAGGTATGATCGGCTTCACTTGTGTGGAGGCGGTTGCGGAATTTCACTGATTAAAAGGATGAACTTGAGAGAGTATCAAAACAATGCTGCAACGAGCAGGTTTAAGAAGTTCAACTTTGTTCAAGCGAAAGTCCGCAACCCGCCTCCGCATAAGCTAGGAGCCAATGATATGATTTGAGACCCGAAAACGACAAGAGTGGCACTAAGTACAGCGCAAACCGTAGCACTTCCGCTTACATGTTCCCTGCTAGGTTTGGTGCAAAGTAGTACATCTGAAAAGTCGACTCAAAGTCGTCTATTGTGGGCGAAGAAAAAAAGAGACTGGTATTATCACCAGAGGTGCGATAGGGGGAGCCGGGACCCCTAAAAGTGAAGGTGGTTTCAGCTACCACTGGCCGGCCAAAAGTGAAGGTGGTAGTGTCGGACACTCACCTCCCAAAAACGTCGACGGGGGGGGGGGGGGGGGGGGAGGTGCGGGGGGAGGATAGAACGGACGAACGGAGCTATCTTTCTAGGTCTAACGTCGACCCAACGGCCCTCTTTAGGGCCACAGATACGATGAATATTAAAAATATCTATAAATTTTATTTATAAAAATTTAAAATAGACGTGTTTAGTAAATGGTGTATTTGGAAGTAGAAGTTTGTTGGACTGTACGGATTTTATTAAGCAAATTTTGTTATAACGTACAGCGAAGAAAGTAGATCGATCCAGGCAGTAACGGCCGAGAATCAGAATTTCGAATAAATAAATAGTGAAAAATCATGCAAAATTTCCACTGTTATAAATCTGTTGTTTGAAGATGTCAGCAGTTGCGACTTCATAGGTTTCAAAGAGTAAATGTTGCTCTATCAGCTAGTGAAGGAATCTGGTCGATTTAAGAGATAGTCGTTGAAAACCAGAGTTCTAAAACTTTACGCCATTTTTGCGTGTTTTTTGACTGTTGAGAGTTAAACTCTTATAAATCTTGAATGTGGAAGTGTATGATGTTGCGACTTCATAGGTTCTATAGAGTAAGGTTTGCCTTATCAGAATATGTCTTGTCCGTTCCGATCCATTGAAACACCTCCGAGATCCAGAGTCATGAAAAAGCAGGTAAAAAAGAGCTTTTTGAACTTCAACAGCTCATAACTTCTTCAGAACTGCATGAATCATGTTGCGACTTCATAGGTTAGATTCTTCTCGTCAAGAGCTTTCAGATGATATATAATATGTGGGAGTTTCGCGCCTCTTACGGCATATGCCCGGGGGGGGGGGGAGACTTTTTAGGCCAAAGTCTCCCCTGGCGGCCTTCAGCCAATACATTAAAATGGGCGAGGGGGAGACTTTGGCCTAAAAAGTCTCCCCCCCCCCGGTCATAATTCGCAGGAGGCTCTAAACCCCCACATATTATATATCATCTGAAAGCCCTTGATGAGAGGAATCTAACCTATGAAGTCGCAACATGATTCATGCAGTTCTGAAGAAGTTATGAGCTGTTGAAGTTCAAAAAGCGGATTTTTACCTGCTTTTTCATGACTCTGGATCTCGGAGGTGTTTCAATGGATCGGAACGGACAAGACATATTCTGATAAGGCAAACCTTACTCTATAAAACCTATGAAGTCGCAACATCACACACTTTCACATTCAAGATTTATAAGAGTTTAACTCTCAACAGTCAAAAAACACGCAAAAATGGCGTAAATTTTTAGAATTCTGGTTTTCAACGACTATCTCTCAAATCGACCCGATTCCTTCACTAGCTGATAGAGCAACATCTACTCTTCAAAACCTATGAAGTCGCAACTGCTGACATCTTCAAACAACAGATTTATAACAGTGGAAATTTCGCATGATTTTTCACTATTTAAATATTCAAAATTCTGGTTCTCGGCCGTTACTGCCTGGATCGACCTACTTCCTTCGCTATACGTTATAACATAATTTGCTTAATAAAATCCGTACAGTTTTGCTAAGCTTTACTTCCAAATACACCATTTACTAAAAACCTTTATTTTAAATATATATGCCGCCGTATACATAAATACAGAGTGTCCCAAAAGTAAGTACACACTTTTCAGCCATTAATATCTTTCTTTCCGCTGTGTCTTTTTCCGCCTTTCAAGCACCATTTTATAGAGAAGGCTTCAACTTAGACTTACAATATTGAACGAATCACCGATCCCTCTTCATCACTGTAGGATTACTGTAGGAACTTCGACAAGGATTTTAGGCCATTGGAAGCCATATTCTGCCTCGAAACAAAACCAAACAAGCCAAAAACCCTTGTACTATGGTCATGGAAGCCGCTGAATTCGAATATGAAATTTCCACTTTATTGTGATGCTTCTTTCCCAAGTTATCCCATATAAGCCGTAATAACCGAATTCTCAGTATTTGTCAGAAATGTGGTTACCCGTTAAAAAAGCTGAAAACACTGGTAAAAAGTTGCATAATGGAATCAGCGTGCACGAAAACCCTAGTACACAAATTTTCAGATTTTTTGAAGAAAATTTTGTCAGCTGGCATATTTCACGATGATTCCACATGCTGGAATTCCTTACCATAATCCTACAGTAACGAAGAGCAATCGGTGATTCGATGGATACTGTATATCTAAGTTGAAGCCTCCTCTACAGAATGGCACTTGATTGGCCAGAAAAGACTTATTGGGAAGGGAGATAATAACGATTGAAAAGTGTGTACTTACTTTTGGGACACCCTGTATATGCTTTCAATAATCTTTTTTGCGTTTGTTTTGCTTATTTTCCTTCTTTGTCGTCCAGCGAAAAATTTTTTATTCCAAAAGTGAAGGTGGTCACCCCGTACCAGCTCAAAAGTGAAGGTAGGGGGAGACTTGGCTCCCCCTATCGCACCTCTGATTATCACTCGACTTGAAAGAATTTGTATGAGTAGTTCTGTGCGCTGTTCTTATACGCTATGATGAGTGCACATAATTGGTAAACCTGAACCTCTTGTACTTGGCTTGTCAAATCTTTGATTTTGTGTGTAGATATCGTCCTTCGTGATATGGTCCGGATTTGTGTAAACTCTATTTTATCTCTTTGTTTCTGAGCTACGGGTTTTAAATAACTCAAACGATGTCGATGTGTCGACGGAAAGAGAGCCAAGCTCACTCATATTTCTTGTTAGGAGCATATTCGAAAATAAAGACAAGGACCTGCGTATAACTAAAAAAATGACACATAGAAGTGGAGAATGAAATCGGGCTAAGCATTATTGCCTACAAAAGGGCCAGAAATCTATCGATGGCACTTCCTCGCAGCAGACAATTCCAGATTTCCGTGGGCGCTAGTTTTCCTTTTCTACAACTTTATGAAGCCTTCTGATCTCGATATGTACTTAGTGTTCACAAGTCAGAAAAACGTCTGCGTTGGCAGTCATCGCAAGCAGCCAACTTTTTCCCTCTGAAAAACGGGCAAGATAAAGCGGGACAACATTAATACGCGGACTACAACTGAATTAACCGAAAAAGTCTCCCTACTCTGACTAAATAATGAAACAACCCATTGTCCGTACCGCAGCGCACATTTATTGGCGTAAATTCGGATGTTTCTGCAGTCAACATTAGTTTTACGCCTAATTTTGACCGGTAGGAGAAAAGTGCCTTCTGCACTCTATAATCCAGTTGCGGACGCGCTGCTCCAGTTGGAATGTTTCGCCTACTCCGGGTTGGAAAAGACTGTAGTTTGCAGACCCTCTCCTCATCTTGGCATCCTGAGTACTTATTGTTGGTAGTCTGCTGCATCACAAGCTTCGAGACGCAGGAGTTGGGTGTCGCTGATACATATCTGGTCATCTCGTTGATGTTTCCGTTCTGAAAGGTTTTGCTTCGTGAGTTATACACTCCAATTTTCGTAATGTCCATCTGTCATCTGTTCATCACAGAGTTGACCCACATCGGTGCTTCATTCGCAACATATTCCGGAGACACGAAGACGGGACATTCTTCTCATATCCGTACTGCAAAGTTCGACAAGATGTATGTCAGATAAAATCCAGGAAACTGTTCTCGCGCCAATGATTGCAAAGCATACACTGATTTTTCTCTTGCAACAGCTCCGCGATTTTGTCGATGGGTTGTGCAATTGCACACACAGATTTTTTGCGGTCTTGGAACGCTTGCCCTTTATGCCACGATTGATATCGACAGTTGAGCGGTATCGATCCGTTATTGGTTTTTCCCCCCGAGTTATTATCTTCATATGTTCGCAGAAATTGAAATGCAACAATGTGACTGTGATTTGAATAGTGACTAGATCAGGAGTTCAAGAAATTGGTACTTGTAAACGTTTCATTCTTGCTTCTATTCTCCCGTTCACTGATACTTAGCTTTTGGAACTCTGTTCATTAACACTGTTTCACCTGCTTATATAGAATTGGAATGGGTTTTGTGTGATAGTCGAAGCTGAAGCACGTGCTGCTTTTTCATACTTTTGTTATTGCGAGTTCTTTCCTTGAAGTTATCTCTTCATCGTGCCACTGTCTCTGAGCGCTCTTTGCGTTTCTACATCTTCTCAAATAATGCTTGCTACCTGTTTTCTGTTCAGATATGGCTCAGCTAACAGCTCGAGCCGTTTTATCGACACTAAGTAAGCGTACGCTACTTCCAAGCGCAGTTGCTGGACATCGAGGTCTAGCCACTGAAGCGTCACCAGAGGACTATGGTTATTATCCCGATCCACTAGAGCACGCGACTGGACGTGAAAAGAAAATGCTTTTGGCACGTCTTGCTGGAGACGATGTAAGTGATCTTTTTTTTTGTGATCTCTCTGACTGTTGGATTTGAACGGTGACAATCACGTGCTGATCACGAATATCAAATCTTTTCTGCATTTTAGAGGGTTTTATAGAACTGCGATAGGTTTACTGTATGGGGTCAAGAGTACAAATTTGCAGCGCGTAAGAGGGTTCTTTAGCCCGCCGAAAATGATTATTAATGCAGTTTTTTTCTCAAAATAATGCCAGCTTCATGGACTAGGGTGGGTACGGCAGATGGGTCATCTTTGCCTGGAAGGGCCTGCTGATTACGATTATCAAACTTCCTCGCTGCAAAAACGCTTTATTGTTAGAGTTACGGTTCGCAGCGAAAAGAATAGACAGTTTCTCGTTTTGGGCCAATTTAGAAAACTGAAATTTACGTAAAGGCCTTATCATGTAAAATGAGCACGATATTCTTGATCAGCGTCGGGATTAACCCCTCTAGACCAACTCTCAGTTTTGAGATTTCGTTCCCTTACCGTAAACCTGCCATAACTTCACGAAAAGGCTCCAACAAGTGCAGAAAGAGAGTGATATTTTTGATCAGCATGTCGAATACTCTCCCCCCTACCAGAGGTGCGATAGGGGGAGCCAAGTCTCCCCCTACCTTCACTTTTGAGCTGGTACGGGGTGACCACCTTCACTTTTGGAATAAAAAATTTTTCGCTGGACGACAAAGAAGGAAAATAAGCAAAACAAACGCAAAAAAGATTATTGAAAGCATATATTTATGTATACGGCGGCATATATATTTAAAATAAAGGTTTTTAGTAAATGGTGTATTTGGAAGTAAAGCTTAGCAAAACTGTACGGATTTTATTAAGCAAATTATGTTATAACGTATAGCGAAGGAAGTAGGTCGATCCAGGCAGTAACGGCCGAGAACCAGAATTTTGAATATTTAAATAGTGAAAAATCATGCGAAATTTCCACTGTTATAAATCTGTTGTTTGAAGATGTCAGCAGTTGCGACTTCATAGGTTTTGAAGAGTAGATGTTGCTCTATCAGCTAGTGAAGGAATCGGGTTGATTTAAGAGATAGTCGTTGAAAACCAGAATTCTAAAAATGTACGCCATTTTTGCGTGTTTTTTGACTGTTGAGAGTTAAACTCTTATAAATCTTGATGGAAGTGTATGATGTTGCGACTTCATAGGTTTTATAGAGTAAGGTTTGCCCTACTAGAATATATCTTACCCGTACCAATTCATCAAAGCACCGCCGAGATCCAGGCTCTTGAAAAAGCAGGTAAAAAACAGCTTTTTGAACTCCAACAGCTCGTAACTTCTCCAGAACTGCATGAATCATGTTGCGACTTCATAGGTTGAATTCTTCTTATCAAGAGCTTTCAGGTGATATATAATATGTGGGGGTTTAGAGCCTCCTACGAATTATGACCGGGGGGGGGGAGACTTTTTAGGCCAAAGTCTCCCCCTCGCCCATTTTAATGTATTGGCTGAAGGCCGCCAGGGGAGACTTTGGCCTAAAAAGTCTCCCCCCCCCCCCGGGCATATGCCGTAAGAGGCGCGAAACTCCCACATATTATATATCATCTGAAAGCTCTTGATGAGAAGAATCTAACCTATGAAGTCGCAACATGATTCGTGCAATTCTGAAGAAGTTATGAGCTGTTGAAGTTCAAAAAGCGGATTTTTACCTGCTTTTTCATGACTCTGGATCTCGGAGGTGTTTCAATGGATCGGAACGGACAAGACATATTCTGATAAGGCAAACCTTACTCTATAAAACCTATGAAGTCGCAACATCACACACTTTCACATTCAAGATTTATAAGAGTTTAACTCTCAACAGTCAAAAAACACGCAAAAATGGCGTAAATTTTTAGAATTCTGGTTTTCAACGACTATCTCTCAAATCGACCCGATTCCTTCACTAGCTGATAGAGCAACATCTACTCTTCAAAACCTATGAAGTCGCAACTGCTGACATCTTCAAACAACAGATTTATAACAGTGGAAATTTCGCATGATTTTTCACTATTTAAATATTCAAAATTCTGGTTCTCGGCCGTTACTGCCTGGATCGACCTACTTCCTTCGCTATACGTTATAACATAATTTGCTTAATAAAATCCGTACAGTTTTGCTAAGCTTTACTTCCAAATACACCATTTACTAAACACGTCTATTTTAAATTTTCATGAATAAAATTTATAAATATTTTTAATATTCATCGTATCTGTGGCCCTAAAGAAAGCCGTTCGGTCACGACTTGACCTAGAAAGATAGCTCTGTTCGTCCGTCCAACCCCCCCCCCCCTCACCTCCTTCCCCCCCCCCCCCCCCCCCGTCGACGTTTTTGGGAGGTGAGTGTCCGGCATTACCACCTTCACTTTTGGCCGGCCAGTGGTAGCTGGAACCACCTTCACTTTTGGTGGGCCCGGCTCCCCCCATCGCACCTCTGCCCCCTACCCAGGCCAAGTTTTGGCAAAATCCGTGACTCCATACCGCGTACCCACTGTAATCCCAGAAAATGACGCTACCGTGCAAAAATAATGTGATATTTGGCATTAGCGGGTCGAGTAACCTCTTGGACTAAGTTTCTGCGAAATCCATGGCAAAGAATTTTCCGGCCCGGAGATACTGGAACACCGCCAGTTTTTCCTTTGATCTTTCATCATTCAGAGGGCGTATGCGGTAGATGGGCTGACACTCCGAATACTCCAAAACTTTTTCTGGTCTGTTTTCACGGTGCTTGTAGTCATGATAGACATGAAAAGTCCTTCTTCGAATTTACGTGGTTTCCCAATAAACGCGCAAGGAAAGTTCTTTTGCGCATTACCGATATCATTGTCTTAGTAATGCTAAAGGAACTCCATTAGACAAAGCATCTCGGGATTTTTTTTCACTACCCTAAATCCACCGTAGCTTCATGAAATGGAAACAAGCGCGAATCGCGCTTCCGTGATCTTTGTGTCAAATGGCCTTGCGGGGTACGGCTCAATAAAACGCACTATTTTGAGTGTTTGATCTTTTTAGAATGGAATAGTAGTGATTGAAACGTGTCTTCTTGTAATCCCACTGCCTTATTATAGCGCTACGAACCGAAAGTCTACTATCGAGCTGAAAATTCGACAAAAGAAAGGCCCAACTTAGTGCCATCTCATTTCCCCGACAGGATCATTGGATGCATGTGTAAGTTTATAAGATATTGTATTTTCATGTGTTATTTCAAGTCCGTTTGTTTTGTCATGTGGTTTGTTAGCAACTACAAGTAGTTCGCCAAACATTCGTGTCATTTTTTGCTATTAATACTGTTGATGAGAAGAGGGTTTCAGCACATATTATTGCACTAGTGTTACTTTGAACTTCAGCATTGATTGTAGCTAAATATGCTGTACCTAAAATCAGTACAGCCCTGGTTTTGCATGTAATCTCCTTCCTTCTTGGTCTGGACGGAGTTCTCCAAAGTTCCATTATTAGAGTGTATAGATCTCATTACGTAGGCAAGTAGTATTATAACGAATGTCCTGAGTTGTTTGCCACGTGTTGAGTCACCACTGTTTCATTCATGAGGACAGCATCTTTTGTTTTTATAGGCAAGATTCTATATTATTTCTTTTGGCCTGCAGATCGAATAACCTTTTTAGTACACTGTAACATCATTTGTGTTCTCATACAAGCTTGCGTTGCTCGTAACAAGCTTTTCCCGCTGTTTCTTTTTGACGAATCTAAGTTGCTAGTTTGCTTCTGTCGCTCCCTTTGTTATGTGATTTGTATTCATTAAATGGTTGCTTTCTACAGGCGAACCTGATTCTGGTCATGTAAACTTCATGGTGATTCGTAAAGGGATGCCAAAGAGATGTGAATGCGGTCACTGGTTCAAAGCCATCGATGCCGATCCAGAATCTGTCTAATATGCAGTCTAGGGTTTGTAGAGTCAAGGTTGTTTGACAGATAAACAAGTTGTATTTTGTATCATTTCAAAGCTTATTATTGATTTCAAATAAAATACCTCATTGTACCTGAGATGAGTATGCTTGATTGGTTTTTTGAATGGTTCAGCCACACTTATTTTTGTTCTACTTGACTTGCTTCTAACTGGTTTTTCTGTGCTGACAGCGAGTTAGATCAGGACCTCCCTTTCGTTAACTTATCTTACAAATCATTCCATGGGTAAGGCTAGTTCTACTGATTTTTCCGCAGTGATTTTAACATTTTCCACAGTTTTTTCAGAGCACTAGAGTTTTCTCAAATACTTTTGTTTCTTATTTTGTGTATAATGGTTATAACTGGACAACAGGAACCTAATTCTGCGCGCAGAAAAATTCTTTCGGCGATTATGATTTCAGAAAGGTTACGCATGTAAACAGTGGTGTGCGTGCTGGCTTATCCATATTTTTTGTGAGTCATTAAGTAGTTGATTATGTGTTTAGTTTTTCTGACTTCGCTGATCGATTGGGAATTACTTTGTCCTTCCATAGTCAAATATGAAGCAAATTTCCGCGTTTTGAAGTACTGCTTGTACGCTCTTATTTTTTAGATCACCAAGAAATTCTCATGAAACATCGCTAACTGAATCAAGATTTATGCGCTGATCGCCTCGTTAAAAACCGCGCAGTTCTTTTTGAATATGATGTGCCATATTTGCGCCAAATATCGTTGGTTATCCAATTTTGAATGAGCAGTGATTATTCGATCACAGATTCCAGGTTTTTGTTTCAATTATTGTAACTAATTCACTTTGTTTCTTTTTACCAGAATCAATTTGTGATTGCTCTATGTATACCGACTAGATATCTTATTGAATTTTTCACAAGAAAAGGATACCAGATCAGTGGTGAACCGAAATGTTATGCATATATTTAGATGCGTCTTCATGAGCTGATTTCAAATCTAACTTCCATATCTGCTAAGTTGTTCTCTAAAAGACGTTATGAGCGTCTAAATTTGGCAAACATTTAATGCCACATGTTCAAGAACAACTTCTTCAAAAGCATTTATGTGTTCGATGCAGTATGCATTCCTTGTAGTCAATGCACTCATAGCCCTGCCAATTAGTCACTCCCAAGCTGGCTTTCCAAGCACATTACGCTCCAAAACCCATTAACTTCACACATTTAATGGTTTATAGCTTCTTCCAGAGAAGTGTTTAGCAGATAAGAAAGATAGATTTGGAATCAACTCATCAGGGCGCATCTAATGATATGCATCTCATTTCGGTTCGCTACTGCGCCTGGTATCTTTCCGTTGTCAGAATAATCGACACAGATATGCGACTTCATCCATATAAAGTTAAATGCTACCTTATCTTGGTTCAACTTCAGTTTTTTCGCTTTTAGTGTAATGGATTGCTTTTATGTTTTACTTGAATACATAGTCTTGTTACAGGCAATGTTTCGCCGTCCTGTGGTGCGTGCGACCAAGTTACGGCATTCAGCGAGATTTGCTGCCAAAGAAGCTGCACGAGTACTTGATGGAGCTGAGCGATCATCTCTTACCAATCAAAAGCTCGCTTCCCTAGAGCAGGACAATGCCCACGAAGATCCGCACGCCAATATCGTTTGGAGGAAAGATCTTCCCAACTTCGAAGATGAGATGATCGGAGGACCGAAAAAGAAGGCAAATCGCAAACGTCCCAGTTCAGCAACACCTGGTGCAAATCCTGCGAAGAGAAGGCGAAAGTTCCGTGCTCGACGCTTTCGAAACTTCATTTCTGCTTTGGACGAGGCAAATCAGAAATATCGCAAGAATAAGAGGTTATATCGCGCCTTCTTCAAAGCAACAGCTCCAGCTCCCAAAGTGAAAGGCAGGAAATTTTGCGCTCCATGTGGCGATGTAGGCATCTATTCATGCACAAGATGTGGAACTCCTTATTGTTCGATTGCTTGTCGAGATATTCATTTGGATACAAGGTGTCAACGATGGATACGTTAATGAGATTATCATGAGACAGATGCTGTGAGGCTATTGTATTGAGCTTATCTCTTGAAACTTTTGTGAAGTTTCAGATTGCGGTTAACTTGTAAATTGGAACAATTTTCGGTCTCAATGTTTTGTTGTGTGTTTATATGGCATGCGTTCTGATAGTTTTGTGATTTGTAGCAAGGACAAGAAGTCAATTACTGTTAAAACTTATAAGCTTGCAGGCTTCAAGCAATTTATCGGGTATCACTTTTACGCTGGTTCTTATGAAGTTCTTCTATAAAAGTGTTTATAAGTGGTAAGCACTCACGTATCATACATACATAATGAAGCTGTTTTTATAATTTTCGTATTCATCAGATGAGTGCATTCTTAGCAATGTAATCATACTATTTCATTTCCTTTTGGGACAGAGATTGTCTTAGATTAGTAGTGAACCAGTAAATTCAAAGGTGTTAGTTGCTCTCCTCATCCTTCCCGCAAATGGTCGGCCTAGCTCTTAGCTCTGACCTATACCATCCACCAAGGATGGGACCAAGAAGAAAAGGTGGAAGAAACCGTGGCTGGTCCACTGGGCCTACTTGGTCGAGAAGTCATGGACAGCGCAACGTCACGAGTGCACTGGTTGGCACAAGCAAGAATATTCTTGTCGTCGAAGACGATTGAAGTCAAATCGCCCAACTCAAGCCATAGACGGAATCATCGCGGTACTAATTGTATATAACCGCTGAGGATGAATAATTGTAAATGTTAGTTGCAGGCGCGCTCGCTTCGGGACCCGCTCGGTTTCCCGCTATCTGGTGATTCTTGAATGCACCTTACAATTCTTTATATATTAGACGAATTCGATCCAGAAGATGCTTACTTCTTTTAATGGAACTGAAGGTAGGGGTCAGATCTACAGGGATAAGTATTGGATTTAGATCTACCGACCTAAGTGTTGTATGCAAAAGCTGTTTGGGAAGTGCTTGAGTCGTTTCCCTAGCAGCACCTCATTGAAGTCATTCGCTGACGAGAAATTCAGAACGCACAATACTTCAGCTTTCGAGTAAGGTTCTACGCGAGAGTTTAAAGCATCTCTCGGTCACGAATAAATTCTAGCCGCTATTTGAGCAATCACAACTCTTGGTCAACATCCTAGATAAGAAGTCTAGGTTTGAACTTTATCTGGAGACCGCCTTCAGTTGGCTGCTTCGGTATATATAAGCTCCTGCAAGACGAAGGCGGTTGGTTCGAGGTGCGACGTGGCTGTGACGCGGCTGTGACGCTGCTGTGACGCAGCCATGTCGCAGCCGCGTTGCACATCGTACCAACCGCCTTCGTCTTGCAGGAGCTTATAGCAATAAAGTGTTAGGACCACCGTTCTGCTGACAAATGTCCATCCAAAGTCGGGGAACCGAGCAAGTGTACAACATGCGATTGCCGTGTTCTAAAGCTATTATGTAAAAGCCGTGAATTAGTTCAGAGCTATCCCGCAGCTTTTGCCTTTGAGTAGAAAAAAATACGCCGCAGCATTTTTTTCAAGTTGAAAAGTGAGCATTATTGATCACATTCATAAACAATGCTAGTACATTTCGAGTGCTGTGAAGACAATGTTGATTACAATTCAATTGATCAATAAGTGTTAAGGTCGCTTACATTGATGAGTGCACAAGGTTAGTAACTGTCCCAGTGATTTTTGAGATGTAGAGTAATTTGCAAATTTTTTAATGGTCGACAACATATATAAATAGTTTCCAGTTTCGCAGTTGTCATGGTGAATGTTACGCCTGTGCATTTTATTCGCTATAAGTTAGAAGTGTTTCCATCATTCACGAAGCTGAAAGGCTTAGGTGTCACCTGTCCTGGTTTTTGCTGGACATCCCTGGACTGAACCCTGATGCAAGCCGTACAGAGAGCTGAACGATTGGATGAAATTCCGGTCCGAGAGGAAATTTGGATCCAAGAAATGGGTAAGTTTTATAGAATACACAATGCTTCGTCTACAAGAATACATTAGCAACACACTATTTACCTAGAGTGAAACTAGTTTTGTTACCGAAAATTTATGTGGTCAAAATTCTGATACGATCTTCAGGAATACAGCTGTCCTTATGTAAAGGAAGCGGCAAAATTACTACGTGCGGCACCACAAAGTATTTTTTCATCGAGATATTCGACGAACGTACGCTGTATGTTGCTTTTGTTATGGGCAGTGCCCATGCAAATCTCGGCACTTGGACTTGTCTGTAGCTAGTGAAGCCCCTAGTAAGGCTAATGAATAACCGAGCTCAAGTGGCAATTAGACTATAAACCTGTGCCCAGGTCCAAACATGAGGGTGCTCTGATTGGTCCGCGCGAAGAAGGGTACGGTACTGGGAAGTACCTTTTCTCGGACATTATGAATGTATGTGCTGTGACTTCCCCAATTGAGGGACCTAAGTTAGTTTACAAGTAACAGATCCCGTTACGCGGATTTACAAGGACACTTCCTTTATGCAAATTCTAACTAATAAAAAACTTCTGCAATCCTGAAATTAAGAAACAGTTGGTTTTAAGATTCGTCAAGCAACACAAATGGAAAATATCGAAGCAGGTAGAAAATAACTTCTGCTTTGTGTCAACGTGAACCCAATTTTGCATACCAAACCTCTACGGCATCTGAAGTTTGGATGTGCTATGGTGAAGGGTCCAGCAAAAAGAATCAAGAGGAGAGAAAAGATTTATAAAATTAGGGCAAAGAGGAGCACTTTATGCCACTTGAAAAAGAAAAGATACTCATAGATGTTCAGTTTTTATTTCTGGATAGCGACAATTATTGATTGAGTTTTCTGAAAGTTCATGCAAAAAGCTGAAAATGCAGCGTCCTCGAGACTCGGAATTGTATACTTTAAGCACATTGGAAAGTATAGCCACTTTCCACATCTAAAAAAGTGGTTTCTCTAGCTCGTCTTCAGTCCTTCAGGTAGCAGTGTGAATACTGTTAGATAATTATCATGCTACAAAATCTTCTTTCAACAATTTGAAACTGAAATTCTTAACAATAAGTCCTGGAATAAAACTTCGCGATTTTTAGTGCATTGGTGACTTGTATGCCCAACTTACTCGAATTCAGCTAACAATAAATTTCAAAGATTCGTCATTCTTTCATTTGTGATTTATTTGATTTCACTTTCCTGTCACTGGTCACTGGACTCAGGAAAATCATCAGGTCTTGGAAAAATCAGAGACCTTCGAAATTGGAATTATATCCAGATTAGACATTATGAACACACAAACATCACTTGATTTTTGAAGAAGAATGTCACACTGGACTCACAAGCAAGCACAGTTCTGAATCAATCACAGGAGTCCAAAAATGATAACTTGAAATGAAAATTTTGCCAAAAGCGATTTTTTTTGAGAAGAAACCGTAAAACTTATGAAGCATTCCAAAAAATTTTTCGCAGGGCCCGAAAAAAAACATCTTGGACCTCCGCACTCTGTGAACAACAGTTATTCAATTAGCTATTATTACATCAACACGTATTTCATTCAATGATCATTCCAACATAAAACATTCATAAATGCTTCTGAACATTTCAGCATTACGCGTTTTGGCCACAATAAAGAGATGAGTTCACTGACAAAAGGCTGATCACATTACTTATCGAGTGTACAAGATGATCGAGAACTGCGAAGTGTCTCAAGCTATCAAGATACATCAACAACATTAGTGTAGAATATCAGTAACAACCTATGAGGGGTAGATGGATTGAATAAATTAGTAACAACAAGTGTCTTTCACATTGATTGCATCACATATGCAAAGCTAAAACCTGGAGTATGGAATGGAAGACCGTTATCAGGAGGAATACGCCATTCAGGGGAATTGCAAAGTGGTACTACATGGTCGACATGACAAGTTTCCAATTCAATAACTTAGACGCTCAAATTAGGTGTCTCCTTCATCGAGGAAAGCACCTACAGCACCGAGGTATCCTTCGTGCTTCATAAATAGCGCCTCCATGTTGCCCTAGAGTTGCGAAATGAATCTTTTGTAAGTGGAAAAAATCTATAAACTAACCTTGCTCCAGTAGTTAATAGCATACGACAACGTCCGCATGGTGATGGGGTGTTTTCGAATGAAGAAGCCCCCGAAATATATCCGCTTCATAGCAAATCTCATACCATACAGCATAGCCATCTATAAACTGACGACATATTCCATAAGGCAAACAAAAAGCAATGAAAGTAAGCAGTGAAAATTTTCCAGAAATCAAAAAAAAATTTTGGATATTGTTTCGTCACAAAAATAGTTGGAACGTACGATTGATTCAGCCAGTACCTGCCCAATATTATTACTGATCATCAACAATAATGACTTGGCGATATCTTGTTCAGTGGCTCGTTCTTGGTCTCCTCGAGCTCCTCGTTTACCCATACGACTGCATTTGCCAAACGAACCAGCAATGAGATCAGCTGCTAAGTTTAGATTCTCGTAAGAGCCACCGTAAATGTCACAGACCTGGAATAATTTCTCATAGAAAATAGGGAGATCAATCAGAATGCGGAAACTCACAAGTGTGTCACATTTTCGGTGGTCGCCCTTCTCTGCCATGAGGAGCAGTTCATCGAAGCCTATAGACAATAATTTGATATTATAGCCTAAATAGAGTAAAATTTTGAGACTCACTTTGCGCTGATGTAAGCAAATTTCCAAGCCCGATAAATGCTCCACCACCCATAGAGCTACCACCAACCCGTTGAAATTGTGACGGTGAATCAACCTGTAATCAGCGATACCTAATCTGGTATACTGTTGGGACAAGAGGATATGCAGTACTACCTTTAACACCGAGATTCCGGTTCCGATATTTACTAGAAGGAAGGGATAGATGGAATCTGCCGCAATAGGCTTGTACTGATACCTGCAAAAAAGTTCTATACTCATGTGAAGAAATCAATAATTGTTTTGTCCACAGCAACTTCCTTCGCAAAGCCAAACGACATCAAAATTCTACACCTAAATGGCGCTTATGATTAACATGTTTTGATTGCTTCATAACATCCAATGACTCAGCCAAATGGCGTGAACGTCCTCTTTCGCAGATAAGCATGATTCGTAGGCTCTTACAGTTTGCAAAAAAGTGTGCATCTCTCATCGCAGCCAAGCAATAGTCAATAAAAATTTTTTTTTGTAAAATGTGACGTTACGGTATTGATTAAGAACAAGTTAACACTGTGTAAAGAGGCTGCAGTGCTCCCTAAATTTGAAAAAAAAAATCAAGGCAATAAATGACAAATATTTACCTTTCTATACCAGTCGCTTCATGATGATAAGTGAATGATTCGTCTACATTGTTCTTCAGTAGGAAATCACAACCAAAGATCAACGACGTCATCTCATCAGTGCGCTGTACTCTGAAGATGGGATAATTTGAAATCCTTACCACTTGACTTGTTGTTTTGAGCTCTTTATAAGGTATACTTTTGTTATTAGAAGGAACTGCATACTTACTGCACTCCTAATGAATTACGCATCATTTCGGCATACTTAAAGGAACCACCGCCAGTACAATGTATGACGTCGTCAGGTGAGCGCTCATGCCAGTTCTGAAAAACGTAACACTATCCGTTGGCACGTTAGTAAATAGACGTCACGTTGCAAACTTTGATTGCTACAGTCTGTAGCAATCAAAGTGTGCGACGTCAGTCCTTTGATGCGTAGCCGAAAACATGTGTAAGATAAAAGTAGGGTCGGCCCGTGGAGAAAAAAAGTCAGAATGAAACTCACTTTATCGATAAATTCTAGACAAGCTTCGATTGAGGTGAACTTTCTGAAGTTTAGTAGGACCTCCGGCTCTTCGCAATCGGATTTCTGTGAAGTTTTATTTAAGAATATATGAAGTATAGGCATAAAAATTTTTCGAACAAAATCCAGACTCTGATTCCTCAAGAAGGACAAATTGACAGCCAAAAAAATCAAATTTTCTACTAAAAATACAACAGGCGAAAAAACCAAACTTTCTTCTAACTTTTCTTTCATGCTTTAGCTTCTAAGATAAGTAACACAGAACTTCGCTTCCGATATAAATCAATGATAATTTGATAAATTCATAAAAAATTCTACAGGTGTTGAATGAGCAAAGATGAAAGATAATGGACTTACATCTGCTCGTTCGCATACAGTTGAGTAGACAAGTTTGATTAGTGTACCTCCTGGAAAACAAGTAGCTCCTTCGGTACTAAATAATATTAGCCAAAAACATACCTATATCTAATGCATATCTACTTTTCTTAATGAGTGGTGCAAAGCGTGCTTCTTCAGGTAGTACTATAAATGGTGTTGTTGGTTTTTCCCGCAAAATTGGCTGCGCAGGACGGATAATCCCGTTACTGGCGTCATCTGCTCGTCTAGAAAAGCAGTTCTTCATTAGAAATGTATAATTTGAATTGAACTGCAACTCACTTGAGATTAGAATTTAGCAGTAGCTCGTCCATAATTTTGCGTTGTTTCTGAGATAAATCAGATACAATTAGTTAGTCTTTCAAAAATCAACGTAACCCACAAACTTCGCAGAACTATGCGAGAACAGTAAGTGAGCTAAAGTCGTATGTGTCTCAAATGCAAAAACTTGACATCCCATTTTTGGGCTACATGTTCATCAGCCAAAAAAGCTTTAATTTATTTTTTGCTATATGCTGCCAACCTTATTCGGAATGCGCATTCTTGATGCAATCGGCTCAGAATCCGATGAACCCCTGCGAAGTTTTCGATTACGTATTGCTGCACCACGTCCCATGTTGCGATGTGTAGCTTTGCAATAGGCAAGAATGTGACCGGAAGCTTACCGGAATCACACACACAAAAAACCTCAAAAGCGAAATTTATTGAACTAATAAGAACACGATAAACGCGGTCCAATCGACGATAGAAAGTGAAGCAAAGTAAAGCATAATGAAGTGAGTGAAATTAAGTGATCTAAGCGAGAAACTAGGACAAAAAATACAGGACAGTATGCCACGCGATGGGTAAACCGGATGTTTGCTAACTAATGCTCTAAGCAAAACGGAATCATTCAAAGGTGTAGAGCTTCAAAAATTCAACATCAACCCTTTGTATTCTAAAATCATGCATCAATGCGCGACGAAAATGATCCTCAAAATTTGTAAGAAGAGTTGAATAACGAATGTTATAAGACGGTCTAAAGAGAGCATAACAAAAATATGGTTGAATCATCTTGCAAAAAACGCCTAATCCAATTATTCCATCTTTACTGACCGTAAAGTTCATACCGTAATACATAGGGTAACTCCAAATGCCATGATGAGCGAGAACAGGATTTACAGACATTTCTAGATCATTGCGAAAACAAGTATTCATTCATTGTCTTGTCCGCTGAGACCAGACAATCAGTTTCATGCGCGGCAGCGTAACTGTGGGTGGGATGATTTGTGGCCAAAATAGTGGGGTGGTTGGTTATCGCAGCATAGCGGCACCTGTCAACGTGCACCGATTGGAAGCAAAAGATAAGCATGGCTGGAGTGTGCGTGAATTGCGTACAAGATACAACGACATCAGATGTTTGTAGGACTATAAAGATCAGAAGTTCGCGCGCATGCTCGTGACAAAAGATAAGGTTTCGCTTTCAATGCTGCCAAAACGGATGTTCAGCTGATATGGAACAATGAAGGTGATACGTGGTTTGTACGAAAATGCCTAATTTCCGATACCGCAAAAAAGATAGTCATATTCATGGGAGCACAATTCGTTACGAATGGGCAACGCCACGTTCAACTCAATACTGCATGATCACAAACAAACTCAACACCTTGCATGAAAGCATCAGCACAATCGTTTTGCCTTTATAGGGGTTTTAGCGCGTTATCAAGTAATCGCATGAGATCCGCACATGAATGCGCTTTTAAGACCATCTTATCAGCATTATTTGCAGAAGAGGCTGCATATGGAGCACATGAACAAAAATATACCTGATTTTACTATTGCAAGAAGAAATATTGACATGCACTATTTAAAAAGGAAACAGTGAACAAATTCCAAAGCACTTCAGAAGCATCAATGAATGTAATCGAAATCAATGAACAAAAGAATACGTAACATAGACAACAGAAGAACTGTTCTTCGTACCTAGATAACAATAAGCAATCCCATTGTTAACAGTGCGACTGCGATGAGTAGCGGCGCCTTTTGAAACATCTTTGTCTGTCGCCTCCAACGTGTTCCTGTGACATAATTTGATTTGCGCATTACCGTTGAAATGAGCTACACTATAGCAAGGCGTCCGTAGGACCATGCAGTTGCTAAAAATAACTTACCTTATTGTACGGTCGCCTATAGTTCCACCTTCGATCGCTAAAGCATTGAAACGGCGCTACATCACTGGGTGGATCTGAATAAAAAAAAAACTTGAGAGGATCCGTGAAAGGCTAGATTTGCAGCTGCAGACAGCTTGCACTATAAAGGACATACAATGCAGGTGACACACAAAGCACGATAAGATAAGACTGGCACTACGTGGTATACAAATGTGAAAAATGAGTGCATAAAGACATAATACAGCTTCAGTGTCTGTTTTGCTAGAATCAATAACGTATATGGTCTTGAATACCCAAAGTGAAGATAGTACAGGAAAACCAAACAATGAGTAAGTTTTCTGCCATCCGAAATAAGCCAATCTTCTATCAGCATTACACTTCTTGAAACACTTTTATTCAAGACTGTGTGCATAGAGACCTCGTTAGTATATTTTGCAGCAAAACTTAGTTTGAGAAAAAGTTACGACACCATCATTATTCTATTTTGCAACTGTAATAATTTCTGAGTTCATACCCCATCATGAGTTTATAATCTGGCGTCAACAAAGTTCTTTGCAGATTTGCTACATATCCAGAAGTGCTGATAAGGCTTTTTGCTTATTCAGCAGAGCATTTCGACGCTGCATTTTACGCAGCATCGAAAGTTCTGTTACGTAAGAACATAGATTTTCAAAAACTAATGGGTGATTCCAAAATGGGGGGGGGGAGATTGGGGGGAATCAGAAATCAGAGGCAGCGCAAGAAACAGAAGAAACATCCCGCTAAAATACTCATTTACATAAGTAATAGTCAATTAGTGGATGTAACATCGCTTGAACGAAGTGAACCTTTTAACGATCATAGCTCATTCAGAGTATTTTTGAGGTTCTATTTCAGACTTGTCAAGATCTATATTTTGTGTAAAAGCAAGATGTTTGTGAAACTCTAAAACTCTTTCAAGAGCAAAAAAAAACAGCAACAGGAACTGAAAACCAGAGAACGTTTCCATCACGTATTCCTAAAACCAGACCATAGAATGCAAGAAATCTCTGACCGATGTTAACATATGACGTGAAGGCAACTCAAAATGTATTTTCATAGTTGAATACTAATCGAATGTTTGTCAGACAATCAAAAAAAAACTGACCTTTACATTTTCGTCATAGGAATCTCCTTTTTTATTACGAAAAAGATCAAAAGTAGTAGGTTATTTAACTGTCTGACAAACATCCAATAGTACTTGTTTATGAGAAGCAATTTTAGTTCCCCTTCACATCGGTTGTTGACATTAGTCAAAGATTTTTTGCCCTCTGTGATTTAGTTGTAAAAGACAGACTCTACCCGCACTTGGCGTTCTGATGGCATTGAACTCCACCCATTCGGATCGCTATCATCTTAGATCTAATTACTACTAATATGTTTTTCACAAATAGTGGATTCTCGCCCGTCCAGCACGTGGAAACAACGTGCGATCCCCTCAGCGTTGGCGACAGTCTCTCGCATAAAAAGATAGAACGATCGTCACACATGGTGGTCACCCCACCAGTGCTAGTTCGTTGAAAGATGAGCGATACGAACGGAATGTCATCTCGGAAGTTCAGGCGTAGGTTCAGATGCGACAACTGCACTTTGGAGAAACTTTTTTTTTGTCGGAAACTCCAGTACGTAACAAATAGCATGAATAGATGGTTTGAAAATAGATGTTTTTTACTCGAGAGATAAAAAACTGACAGCGGTGGGGATAGGCAAAAATTGTTTCAGGTTGAATTCTGATGGAAATCAACGGATAACTAGTAAAAAGTTATTTTCTTAGCCGAAAAGAAGAGATACAAATCAATTGAATTAGTACCACTAAATCATGCTCGAACTCGTACAAGATGAAAGACTGAGACAGCATAACTGGGTTGTCCACCTCCTCTTAAAATCACTGTAGCATGACCTTCATAAATACTCAGATCGCTGATTGCATTTCCAGAAAGGCAAGCAAAAAGACGAACTCTTAAGAACCCTCGAAGAAAGTACAACAAATATTACAGTACATAGACTATTCGATGTTGTGCAAATTCCAAAGTTTGCAAAAGCGATAAAAGTTTACCAGAACACGGAAAGATCATGTCAAAAAGTAAGAATTTGTATTTTCAACCATGAAAGGCTTGCAAATGCAAAACGGGGATAAAAGTGTTGCAAAACTGAATTTGCATACGTAGCCTCAACCAATTCCAATCGTTTTACGCCATGTGTAGAGTCTTGCAAGTGCGAGACTGTACTTTCACAATGAAAGTGCATATTACGATATCTGCACCAACTATCGCTGTACTGTTCTTTTGATTATATAGGCAGAGTTGATATAGATACAAAATGTAAAGATAAGCATGAAATGTAAAAGCGCGGAATAAGAAACATGACTAAACGCTGCAAAAATTGCTTAAGCGTTTACGAATTGGAATCATTGGTCTCTCAATGGAGAGAATAACCCAAAATTGGTAAAAACACGATGTTAATGATAACGAAATTTATGTGAGTCTACAGCACATAATAAAATTTTTCCTAAAAAGATCGATAAAAAAATACTCCACTCAGGATGCGGAAAAGATGATGAACTGATTCTGAGAAGGTTTCTTAAATCAGATGAAATTATGTTTCTTGTATCATGAATCCTTGATAAGACTAGGTAGAAAAAGTAGGTGCTTCAATACGAGCAAACGAATTTGCAGTGGAAGTGAACTTGGTTCCATATGAAAGGATAACGAATTGCAGCGATGACTCGAGAAGATGCAAATGTGAGGAAGCAAAAATATAGGATGGGTCATAGGCGACACTATGCTGAAATAAGCCTTGGCATGTGCCTAGGAGGAAGATCACAGCACTAGTTAATCCAGTAGAAGTCCCAAGAAAGACAATAGGAAGACTCAGACTACGAATGATATTGAAGTACACTCGAACAAACTGAATGACATTCGACCAAAGTTTCCGTGTTCTCTCAAAAAATATCAACTAAGTCATTGCCTAAGTCTCGCGGTTTTCTCTAATGGTCCCACAAGTTCACTTGTAATCACACCGATGTGAGAACATTGCCGAAATGACGATGAAACTTTCTAACCTAATCGTAATTAATACCCAGACAATGCTATGGTATTGAGAAGATCAGCTAAAGACATCCTTCGATAAACTTTTAGAAGCAATGGCAGAAAATAATGCTTGTTTTCTTATGTTTGAATAAATTTCGAAAATACTTATTTTTCGGATGACAACATACTTTCACGAAGCTATACTAAAATCAGCTTACAACGGTCCTGCAATCCATCGAAAGTGTCCACTGCTTGCGAAGATCCGTTGTGGAATGAACCAATTGGTGGTCCGAAAGGTCCACTGCTGTAAGGATACCTTATAAGTTACGGAAATTACCATTAAAAAATAGAGAATCAGAGCTAAAACTCCTATGTAATTATTGTAGTTGCAAAGATCTAGCTTACGGTAAACAAAAGGTTTGTAAAAAATTAAGCAGATTTCTCCACATTTTGCGAATATGGAAACTTTGGCTAAACCGCGAAGCCTATTCCCTTCATATTTTATTGCACTGGCATTTTATAACTTGATGAAATGGAAAATTAACTTACTACTGATTTGACGTGTTCGGTCTCAAAGTTGCGTTGAGGACAGACGAAACCGTTTCCTGTACAGGCACAGTCGGATGAACTGTCGTTGGTGCCCACACAGAAAGTGGACAAGATGGTGGAGTAAGCATTTCATTACTAGGTGCTCTAGCAGGAGGAGGAATCGCAAATGAGCAGTCGACTGCCATAGGTGGAAGATTTGTAGCCGGGATGCCAATCGAAGGAGGAGGAGCTGCAGGAGGAGGTGGCGGTGGTGCAACAGGGGTTAGGTTAGCAACCTGAAACATTCAGTACATATTGGCGAGATCAAGCGTCGAAAATTAGTCAAACATCTCCAATGAAATGTAGCCATTTATCAGAATATATCAAGGTGAAATGTGATCTACAGATCACTGAGACTTGCATGAAAGAATCTTCTAAGACGATCACAACCACAATGATGTTGGAGCAGTGCTTGTGCATTTACCTACACCACAGACTGACAAGTTTCGCTAGCCTAACCATTATGCGTTATCATGGACAGCTACAGCACCCTGTTCACATTGGGAAGCTACGAATTAGAAAAAAAAATTTTAGGGATGATCATGCATGTGGCGGAGAGCTTGCAGGCAGTATGCGAATGAATCTGGGCACGGTTTCATGTGTGAAAACCGTCTTAATTGAGGCACTAACCAAACGAGAACGCGCATGATTCATTTACCGAACGTCGAAATAGGAATGGTTCCCGCGCAAAACAACAGTGCAAGAGAAGTGAAAAGGTTGGCGAGCTAGGATCTAGAATCGGGAGTGAAGGGCTTTGGAGATGGATTTCGGCAGTGAATAAATCAATTCGTACGCCTTGAGCGTTTTCACCAGATTCCACGAGAAAACCCAGAGACCTAGAGTTGTCTACTGCTACCTCTGACTAAAGTGCAGAAAAGAACTCGCTCTCATGACAAAAAATTCAACAACCGAGCAACACGAAATAAAAAGTTTAGGTTCAAAAAGGGAACTTAATTATAAGGCGTAAACAAACCTGTTTGGCCTCTGCAATCGGAGGAGGTGGTCTTGTGACGTCTATCAGAGGAACACACGAAAATGGTTGTGACTGTGGAGGCAACGGCGGTGGAACGATCACATTAGGCGAACTAGAAGGCGGAAGAGAGTTTGCCCCAATCCAAGGCTCGAGCCTAAAAAGTAACATATTTCAAAATGAGTGCAGTCCAAATATCTGGTGAATCAAGGAAGGACAGACATAGTGTGAACAATCCAAAAACACAAGCTATTTTGCAACATTTCAGCAAAACAAATGTAAAATATTGCTCCCAACATACTCCACTACTTTAGCGAATTTCTCAGCAATTTAGTCTAGAAAACTGAGATAAAATCAGATCTCCTCAGCAGATCTAACTACGTGCCCCTAGCGGCCCCAAAAAAACATCTATTGAATTAAGTCTAGCACAATCGATCTCTGTATGGAGGAAACATCCAGAAAATATATCAACAATCAAGGATAGACTGACTAAATAACATAAACTTACACTTTTGTTCCATTTCCTTCTAGGTTCACGGACGAAATCGATGAGCTAATATCAGCATTATTTGTTTTTGTCAAAGGAAATGGAGTGTCCAAAAGCGTATTTGTGATAGCGATAGGGACGTTTTGCTTTGCGTGTAAGTCACGTATGAAATTCGCATCACGTTCAAACTGTTCTTTCAGACGCCTGAAACATGAGAAATTTGTACAAATATCATGTTAAGGCGAAGAAAACACTCACTCGCAAGCCGTGCACATAGTGCTCCTATGCAACTCGGCCTCAAACAGGAGTTCCAAAATGTCTTGTACTAGTCCATATACTTTTCCACTGTCATTTACTGATGATCTCTGAAAGATTTCCAGCGTTTACTTGGCTATACGACTTAAAAACTTAGGGAAAAAACTAAGCGCGCACGGCCAAAACAACCCATATCTCTGCACTATTCATTTGAAATATTTTAGTGGTCGCTATGAGTGAAGAGATATGAGTGAAAAGATAATTGCTGAACACGCGCGTGTAATCGCCTGTCCGGGCAAGTTACCCGGGCAGGTAGTTTCCGCTTCATAGCTCGGTGCTCTTGGGGATCTGTGGCCTTGCCTGTCGCTCATATTTTGGAGGCTTTGCTACCATAGTATCGTAGCACAATGAATAGTAGCACTTTGCTGTATAAGAATCCGTTATTTGTATGATCCCGAACGGGATCTCCCACTGATCACGCTCATTTTCAAAGTTATTTATATGAGCAAAAACTCATTGAAAATATCACAGTGCTTTGCTGTCGATCTATTACGACAGTGCTACGCATGTTTCCAGTAGCACAGATGAAATGTGCAAGTTTTGAGTTTTCGATAAAGCCCAACTCGCGCACAGGTTCATCGAAGATTTTTCAACTTGATTTTCACTTATTTCTTTCATAAACATGCGTAGCACTGTCGTAATAAATCGACAGCGAAACTCTGTTACGTTTTCATTGTTGAAAATGAGCGTGATCAGTGGGAGATCCCGTTTGGAATCATACAAATAACAAATTATTTCAGCTTATACAGCAAAGTGCTGCTGCTCATTGTGCTACAATATTAGGGTAGTAGAGTCTCCAAAAGGTGAACAAACGAGGAGGAAGACAGATCCCTAGAGCATCGAGCTCTGAAGCAAAAACTACCTGTCCGGGTAACTTACCCGACGGGCGTTGATACATATCGCCCCTGATGTCTTTCCAAAGGTGCTCGACAGCGCGAGAAAAAACTTCACAAGGATAAAATCTCTGCCCTCATCTAGGATTGCACCTAATCCAGTCACTTGATGTAAAACCAAAACTTTCAAAGTACTGTCTCTGACAATGAGCAGGTCCCTAACAAATCCAAGCGGTATTTTGTGGAGCTGGTACCAATGCAACAATCGAGCATATCTTTCATCATTTCAGCTATCAACGGTCGTGTACGCCTCGCTTCATGAGCAACCGCCTTCATATAGGACTCGCCCACATATCTTTTAAAGATCGAACAGAGTAGACTTACACTCAAGTACATTTTCCGCCCAACTGGTATGTCTACATTGGCGACAGGCTGTTCAATAAGCGCGTAAACAAATAGTTATGCTGAAGCGTCGGTCACTTGCGCGCGCGAAATGCTAGCAGTACTGAGGGGCTATGGTTCATGCGCAAATTTACCGAATTTTCTGACACCGCAAACATACTAATACTAAGCGCAAAATCTAAATATGAAGTGCAGCATGTTATGATCAGGGTCAAGCAAGGGGTGTGGCACACGATCGCTGGTTACGACCCCCCCCCCCCCTGATTGCTGTCTTAATAAGACCCCCCCCCTGGACTATACCCTTAAGATAGCATTACTTGGAGGCCCTGTCAAACATAATGGGCAACATATCCATAATGAGCATGTCAATTAACCCCTGTAGACAAAGTTTGAGCGAATTCTGAAGATTCAAGATACTAGGTTACTTAAGTGAAATGGTCAAATTCCAACATGGTTAACTTTGTTTCAAGGTGAATTAGCTATCCGTTTTCGCACTCAAGACAAAGCACTACTCCTTCTTTGTCCACCTCAGGAATCCCGCTTCAGAAGACCTCCAAACTGTGGAATTAGAAGCCAACCAAAATCTCGTTTTTCCCATTTTTCGCTTTTGATCGCTGTGCTTTCACCAAATATTACTCAGAGCTAAGAAGACGAATCAGGCTCAAAACATCTCTATGGAATCTACGAGGTTTAGGCTATTGATTCATATAAATATTGTCCGTTAAAAATGTTTTTTTGATATAGTTAATGGCCTGCGGCACCCCCCCCCCCCCTCAAAACCTGCGGCTGCCGCAGGTTTTGAAGGGGGGTGCCGCAGGCCATTAACTATATCAAAAAAACATTTTTAACGGACAATATTTATATGAATCAATAGCCTAAACCTCGTAGATTCCATAGAGATGTTTTGAGCCTGATTCGTCTTCTTAGCTCTGAGTAATATTTGGTGAAAGCACAGCGATCAAAAGCGAAAAATGGGAAAAACGAGATTTTGGTTGGCTTCTAATTCAGTAGTTTGGAGGTCTCCTGAAGCGGGATTCCTGAGGTGGACAAAGAAGGAGTAGTGCTTTGTATTGAGTGCAAGAAGAGGTAGCTTACTCACCGTTAAGATGAAGTTAATCATGTTTTAAATTACTGCTTTATACAAGGTTGTTTACTGCTCGGAGACTTCAGAGTTCGCTGAAACTTGGCGCATAGAGGTTATTCGACACGCAGATTACGACAATTATGCTTGATTAGAGGTACGGTAGGTTACGGTAGGCACACGGTATCTGCAAGTTTGTGTCGTTGAACTTGAATTTTGCAGGATTTCAACAGCGCTTTCATCAAGTCAATTTAGTCACACAGCTATACAAGTGCTTTTGACCTTGGGTCGATACGACCCCCCCTACCTACCCCCCTCCTAACGACCCCCCCCCCCTGCGGCGTGCCGCACCCCCCGCGTTACCCTGGTTATGATAGATATATTTGTACATACGAAGTAATGAAATAGCAGAAGTCGACCACAGATGCATCAAAAAGAATCTGGAAAAACAACCTCAGCGTTTAAAACGGCCTGCACTTCCTGTTTTAGCTTCCTCGTTGTGTATCGTGGATGCTTACTACTGATCGGATCGTAACCGTCACGATGGGCCAATGTACGCCTCCACGCATCCGAAACCCTACAAGCCATGACTTTCAATTTCTCCAGGATATAGAAAACGAAGGACATACTTTGACAAGTTTTTATGTCGACTTTCCGATAGATCATTCTTTGATGTATCTTCTGAGCTTTCATTTGGTTTCGCTGACTTATCTCTGGAAAGAGGACCATGTGTCAGATTTAGATCTGAGGAAAGAAATTCGAATCAACAACAGAAAACAATAAACAAATGCCGCTGCAAAATTTGACCATAGGACCCAAGGAGTAAATTTAAATGATGTGACAACAAGTGAGATAAGATTGAATGGAAAAGAGTAACTTGAGAACTGCTTAGAACGACCGAACAACAGGCAACATATTCTAATAAGGATAAAGTGCGACATTTGCGCAAAAAATAAAGTAAAAAGTTCGAAACCCGCTACAGCTCAGATGTCCACCAACAGAAGGTTTCCAGTCGACCAGGCCGTGTGGTGCAAGTTCGTTTACTACCGGCATAGACTGCACTTCACTAAAGCAAGTAGTATAATATCGGGAAACTTCTGCAAAGAAAATTACAGCGAAATCAATGCGACCTAACACTTATTCAGTTTGAGATTGGTCTACAAATAAAATCTATCTATAGATCTATCTATGCTAAGTATACTTAGCAAAACAAAGGAGTACTACGTTAAAATTCCAACAACTTTTAAAAGTGAAGAAAAAGAATTCGCCAAAACGACAATGGAGCACGCGATGTGACTAGGTCGCGCTAAGTCCCCTTCCAGTGAGTCCTTTAGAAATGGTATTTTGCAGCTTTGCGGGCAAATCTTAGACTTTCCGGAACATTTCCTCTCTAGTCATTTCATATGAAGCTGGCCTGACAAATCAGATGTAACTCAGACAAATGACCGGAACTTGCGCAAGCGCTCTGCTCCGGATCTTCCGCAGAGCGCTTGCGGAAGTTCCGCCGGGTCACTGCGGAGGTTCCGTAAACGTGCTGCGGGGTTTCCGAAATGAGGTCCTGCGAAAGTTCCGAAGGATGCCAACCACAACAGTAAAAGAGAACTCCGAAGCGAGATTTGAACCTCACTCTATTGACTGTGCAGGGCCCGGCACGCGTTGGTTTGGAGGCTTTTTGGAAACGAAGTCCCCCATGACTTCGCGAAAATTTACGAAGTCCCTCTCGACGTGGAAATCAGAAGGGAAACCCTTATTCAACCGAAATAACAACAAAAAAGCGAAAAACGTATTTTGAGCTATGTAATATAACAAAAAAAGCAAAAAAAACCTTTCGAGTCGATTAAAGGCTCTGCCATTGAGTATAGTACCATTTTGATGCTCGGAATGTCGAAAATCTCCTAGGCCAACCAAATCTGTAGCCTCAACAATCCCGCGATGCATTTTTCGCCACATATTTCAAAGAACACCGCAAGTGATTGGAGCGCGATATCTATCAACCGTAGAGTTATACTACTTTTGACTCAAAAAAGGGGAGAGGCAATGGTTTGATCCGCTCTCTTCACTATATGATAGATTTTTGACCGTTCTAATCGTTCAAATCAAAAAGGTCCAAAACTTATGTGAGCTCTCCGATATTTATGCTCCGAACCAAGCCAGTTGGTTTGGAGTGGGTAGAGGAACGAACGCCTCAATTAGGCATCGCCTTCGCGGGCGGCTGCTGGTGCTTTCGTCCTACTGTTGTGCATCGTGTTGGGACCAGTGGTCCGCGGAGGCGGTGCCTAATTGAGGCGTTCGTTCCTCCACCCGTTGGAGTTGGTCTAGAAACCAACAAATTCGAGAATGGATATTAGGACACATAAGTTTTGGGAACTTTTTACATAACATAGTTTGGAGTAATATTGTATACATATAGCCCAAATTCGGAGCCATGTGATTGTTTGTGCGCTGTAAACAAGCCATTTGTTCGTTTCAGTCTTGCATTTGAAATTCGCGCGGTTGCGAAAGAACATGTTCAACTCGTAAAACCTGACATGTTCGCCGTGTTTTTTTGGCGCTTCCTTCAGGATCTCATAAAAACGATGTCCCCGTTGTTTCTAACTCCAAAAACGAAGTCCAGTTTGACTCCAAACCATCGGTGCCGGGCCGTGTGACTGTGAGACCCACCTACTATCCTCTACGCTACGGCTGACATGTTCGATAATGCACTCTAGTTGTTGGCGAGGCAACATCACGAGACAACACATTCAAAGTCCTGCGGAAGTTCTGGCAGGCCAAAGTGCCGCGGAACTTCTGGAGTTTTTCGGAATTTCCGCGGGATTTTGAAGAAGGTTCTCCGGAAGTTCCGGTTTTCAACCAGTTTGACATGAAAATTCCGCGGAAGTTCCGATTTTTAACGTTTTCATTTTTGCAATAGTGAACAAAAATCCCCCTCCCCCCAAAATGGTCGGCCGCCTCATCGTGGCGTGGGGGTGACACTGGGTGTCGAACTGCGATGCACAGCCGAGTGTATGCTCTGGCAGGGCCTCCCAAGCTGTGAAGGAGTTCGACGTTTTCGGTTTCGGCCGGATGCCTAGCTAAGAGCCGGCCAGGCCAGATTCACCGCCGTCTGGTTTTCAGGTCGCTAGGCGATTCTCCCCGCTCCAAGCCTGGGGTCAGCGATCGCTCCATGGAAATCAAGAGTTGACCTAGTAAGTCTGCTCTTGTAGGGGAAAAATTCATTACTCTACTAGTTAGAAGAATAGAAAGAAACCCTGCACATCGGATCTCGCCTACGGCGCCGGTGGTAGCAAGACTGATGTCAGGGTCCTCAGGGCGCCTTTTGGATTGGACAAAAACGACACGTCTGCCGACGACACGCCACGGAGACTGCCTCATGCTCTGCACCTACAACGCCAGGACAGTCTCCACAAACGCCGACCTCCACGCTCTTCTCGACGCTGCAGAGCACATCAAGTACCACATCATCGCTCTGCAGGAAACGAAGTGCAGAAAGAAGGACGTGCGACAGATGAATGATGGGACGCTCATCATTCGTGGAGAGAAGGTTCCGTCACGAAACGTGGGAGGCGTTGGCTTTGTCGTCCACCCATCTATCGTCCATCTTGTCGATTCGCACGAGATCCTATCACCCCGACTAGCCATCCTACGACTACGCCCTCCACGTCGGAAGACCATCAGCATCATCAGCTGCTACTCTTCAACATCAGCAGCTGACGACTCAGAACTAGATGCTTTCTACGAAGATGTGGAGGAGGTCGTCCGCAACGAAAAGTCCTTCTACAAATATGTTGTGGGCGACTTCATGCGAAAATCGGGATGCCACTAGAAAAGGAATATAGGATTGGGAAGTTTGGATATGGGCTCCGGAACGAAAACGGCAACCGTCTCGCTGGGCTTCTCTCCGCCGCAAGACTCTTCCATGGGAATTCCATCTTCATGAAGAAAGAACATCGCCGGTGGACATGGGAATCGCCCAACGGAACGACTCACGCGGAGATCGACCACATTCTCACCAAACGAAGGTGGAGCTTGCTCGATGTCTCAGTAGTCCCATCCTTCTGCTGTGGCTCCGATCACCGCCTCCTTCGAGCGAAGATACGACTCAGCCGAAGGCTGGAAAAGAAAGTCTGTCACAGTGCCGCAAGAAGGAAGGAAGTCGTTTATGACGGTAACAGGCTGGAGGAGCTCATATCAAGATGTGACTGGCCCATCGAGGAGGACCCAACGTACGACTACGACCGGCTTCTGAAAGGATTGCGAGCCTGCGGACAATGTGCCTCAGTGACTTCTGAGAAGAACTTGGAACGTATTTCGAAGACCACTAAGGAATTGCTCGAAAGATGAAGATTTCTGAGGCAGGATCCGAGTGCAACTCATCTCGAGCGACTGGTAGCCAACACCAGTTGCAGAACAGCTTTGCAGGAGGATCTCAGGAAATACAGGCAAGCCAAGATACTGGAAGCAGCCGAAGGAAGACGAAGTCTCAAGAAGTGCCGAAGGGACCTCTGTGAATATCGCGTACCGCTGGCTGCACTATTGAACGAAGACGGGACTCCGACTTCTTCCCGATACAAGATGGAATCCATCGCGAAGGACTTCTATACCAACCTCTTCCGCTCATCAACACCCGTGCCGATGCCCGTTGTTCCCACTGGAGAAGTACCACCACGAATTCTACCTGCTGAAGTGCGCACGGCGATTCCGACCATGAAGACATCCACGGCTCCAGGACCAAAAGATCTTTCCGTCGAATTTCTGCGAGCCGGAGGACAACGTCTACACGAGATTCTCGCGTCGCACCTGACATCTTACCTTCAGAAGGAGAGGATTCCCGACCAGTAGAGAACGTCAAGAACCGTCCTTCTTTTAAGAGGGGTGAACGGGAAGATCTTCGAAATTACCGTCCAATATGCCTGCTGAGTGTGTTGTACAAGCTCTTCACGAAGATTATCCTCGCACGCATATCTAGGACACTGGATGAAGCCCAACCCCAAGAACAAGTTGGATTTCGCAAAGGATTCAGCTGCATGGACCACATCCAGACGGTGACGAAGTCACTAGACTGGAAAGAGAGAGGCATACGAGTTGATGGGAGATTCCTATCCAACCTTCGTTTTGCGGATGACTTCGTCCTTTTCTCGAGCAGTATCACTGAAGTAGAGGCGATGCTGAAAGAACTAAACGAAGTAGGGAAGAAGATCGGACTGCGAATAAATCGGAAGAAGACTCAGTTCATGAAGAACGTCCTTTGCGAAGATGCAGAAATGGAATTGGAAGGCACCCCTATCATGGAGACGTCTTCTTACGTGTATCTGGGACGTTCAATGAACATGGAGAACGACTTGAGGGAAGAACTTAACAGGAGAAGAAGAGCAGCCTGGGCCGCCTTCGGGCCTCTGAAGGAAGCCACCGACCAATTGACGGACCCGGGGCTTCGTGCCCACCTGTTCGACTCAACCGTTCTCTCAGCGCTCTGCTACGCAGCTGAGACTTGGGCCGACACCGCAGCCACGTCGAAAGCTTTGAAGACCACCACAGAGCGCTTGAGCGCTTTCTTCTGAAGATGACCCGACACAAGCAACATCTAGTCGGACTTCGCAGCACGGATATGAGAAGAATGTCCCGTCTTCGTGACCAGCGGAATACGTTGCGAAAGCGAAACACCGATGAGCCGGTCACATAATGAGAAGAACAGACGATAGATGGACACTAAGAACATCTGAGTGGATTCCTCGCGAAGCTAAACGTTCTCGAGGAAGACCACCGACGAGATGGGCAGACGTGTTCGTGGAACGGATGGACCAGCTGAGAAATCAGCTGGATACGATTCTCGCCCCTGGAACTCGTGGACGCAGCCACCGACGACGACCAAGAAGATCGTGGATGTCCGAAGCGAGGGACAGGGATCAATGGCAACTTCTGTACTGAGGCCCGCACGTCACGTGAGGACGGGCCATCCAAGTATCTAAGTAAGTAAGAACAAAATCCTGCGGAACTTCTGCGAAACTTGTAGATTAATATGATCTAAATGCTGTCTGAAATTCTGAAAGTGGAATTTCCAGTGCTTGTGG